ATGACCAGTTCTGGATTGGCGACGGCACAATCTACACGGCCAGTACTCCCACTCTCTCCCAGATTCGAGCACGGAGCACGGGTTCTAGTCCGGCGATACGCCCACGGCCGGACTCTACACGGTTCCAGATGAACGCACTCCAGGTTATTTCTGTTTTATTTATCATTCATTAATTTTTACATACTTTTGCATTGCGTTGTAACATTGGGATGAAATATTGTAGGCTCAGCTAGAACAAGAAACGAGGCGCCGAGAGGAGCTAGAGGCGAAGATTAAGGCAGAGCGGCAGAGGATGGAGCTGCAAATGTTTGAATATATGAGGGGTGTTTATGCTGCAATCGGTCAACCTCCGTCACCGATGCCAGTCCCTCCGCCTCAACCTGCTCCAAATACTGTTTCAGACACTGGAGTCGCTTTACAACCTTATAATCATCGTTTCTAGTTTATGCAGAATCAATCTTACAAAGATGTCCAGACACTAGAAACTTAGTGACTAATGCTATATGTTTGACACATACAATATCTTCTCCTTTGTGCAACATCAATCGGCAGCATCGAATGAGCCTCATGACCCAGCGTGGTCACAGTGAAACTCGTGGCCTAAGTGTCTACTTGTGATTTTATTTGTATTTGCATTTGTGGACTACCTGTGACTATTTGTGGTTGTGAATGAACCTACTTGTGATTCTGAAGTTTATTTGCATTTATGTGTTGTCGATATATCTATATGAACTGCCTGTGATGCCTATTGTGAAACTATCTGTGATGGATGTGATGTTTATTTGAATGTGGTACGTGGTTGTGAACGAACCATATAAACTGATTATATGTGGCAGCTTTGCCGAGTGTTACACTCGGCAAAAGCCCTATTTGCCGAGTGCCATGAAAATACACTCGGCAAAGAGAGACACGTGGCAGAAATATGTGCATTTTGGGGACTAAAATGGCTTCTTTGCCGAGTGTCTGCGCTGTGACACTCGGCAAAGAAGCCAACATTTGTACGTTCTGGACCAGTCTTTGCCGAGTGGCCTGGAATTTGACACACGACAAAAGGAGAAAGCTTTGCCAAGTGTCTGAGAGTTGACACTCGGCAAATGAGACAGTTCGTCGAGTGCATGTAATTTGACACGCGGCAAAATTAGGAATCTTTGCCGAGTGTCTGGGAGTTGACACTCGGCAAACGGGCCGTGACCGTCTCCAGCGCCGTCGCTTTACTTTTTTTCGTCAAGCGTCGGTTTCAGCTCTCGGCAAAATGTTTGCCGAGTGTCCGATAGAAAACACTCGGTAAAGAGACATTTGCCGACACTGTAGATATCGTGTGCTGTTTGTCGAGTATTACACTCGATAAATCTTTTACCGAGTGATTTTTATCTTTGCCGAATACCAGTGGCACATGGCACATAAACTCACTGTTTCCGGTAGGGTAATTTCTCGGAGTACTCCTATGTCGTTATCGATTCCCGCGCGCTCACTTTGTCGGTGCTGCAAGGCGTCGGCGGTTCCCTCGTATCATATCCCACGGAAATATTAAAGCCGGAGGGACACGTACGCGCTTCGGCTCCTACTACTCCGGCTAAATAAAGCACAGGAAGGGAAGGCTTTGTGCGTGCAGGCGCAGCGCGAAGCTACTCGGCAGCCGGGGTGAGCCATAAACAACTCGCCCGGCCACGGGCCACGGCGGCCGCGCGCGCCTGGCGACGGCGAGCAAGGCGACAAAGGACACGGTACAACAACCGAGAAAACGCACAGCCTATACCAGTACTCTGTACTCCTAGCACTGATCTCGGCCGATCGAGACACGTGTGCGGCGTGCTTTGATGCAAGGCTAGCTGCTGAAGCCACCGCTCGTACACGAACCAGCGTGCATGCATGTGTAGGCGGCGTACTATGTAGCTACTCTCACGAGAGGGGTTAAAGTTTCTACGCAACGTACGCGCGCGCGCGTCGTCTACGCAGAGCCATGTCGCGTTGCGTGTATAGTAGTATGCGCTCGTCGTCGTCCCTCCTACTACACCTGGCCGCTACGTGCGGGGTTGTACGTGCTCGGCGCGCGCATGCATGTGCACGGGGCCGGGCAACGGCCCCCGAGGCTAACAACTCGATTCGTTTTTCTCCGGCGGCTTTGCATTGCATGCGCCCGCCCGGTGCCGCGCATGAGCTTATATATATGGTCCGACCGGCCGGCCGGCCAGAAATAACGCTCCAAATTAATAAGACTACGACTTGATCGATCGGCGTTCGATGTCAGCGCGCTGTGGGTCGATCCAAACAAGTACAGGTCTAGCGTACTACTAGTAGCTAGCGTCCAACAGTCCAGGCTGGAAATATATGGCCGTCCAAGTGCAACGTGCATGCACTCACCGCTCTCCGATCCAGACCCAGACGCGTCTTGAGCTGGACGGGCGGGACAGGTCGCCTCTCGCTCGCTCGCCCGGATGCGTACCGACACCACCGTGCGAGCTCTTCAGTACAGTAAATACGTGTCCACGTGACCACGTCCACGCGTCTGGCACGTAGCCAAAGAACGCCACAAATTAAATTAAGGAGCTGACGTCGACATGCCAAAGTACGTGCGTTATGACGCAGCAAGCAGGAAGCGAAAACCAAGAGCTGATTACTGATTATTGGACACGGCCTGCACTTTTTTTGATCCCATGGCATTGCTCTCCGAAATTTTTAATACACTAATCATGACTATATAACACCCAAAATATTTTTCTATTGTTTATATTGCATATTCTTCTATTTAATAGATATGTAGTCATAAATCATACTAATATTTGTTTAGATCCAAATTTTTTAGAAAAACATATTCATGTGCTATCTTCTCTAAAAATTTCAACAATTTCCCGAATTTTGCGAAATTCGATAATTTCTCCTTTCTGGCAAATTTTTAGCGATATTTTTAAAAACCTTGGAGCTGAGATTATGTCATATTTTTTGATCCCATGGCATTGCTCTAAGGCTATCTCCGACAACAATACCCAAAATACAAGACCCATTCATCCTTTGGGTAGCGCTACAGGCAAAAGGTTCAAAATATATTCGGCATCTTCTCCAACAACAAGATCCAAAAGAGAATCATTTCTGCAGATGGGTTTTTAGGAGAGAGGATTCCTATATTTGAATCGTGCCTCTCAGGCAACCTAAAATATGTCTCCCGTGATAGGTCTCATGTTGAGACTATCTATTTTTTTGGTTTGGGTGCCCATATGGGCTTTGTTAAGGATAAGCTGTTGCTAAGATAAGCTCGAGCGCATCATCGCCCTGTTCGTTTGGACTTGTTTGACTGATAAGCCATATCTAAAAGTATTGTTGACTAATTTGATGTGAGAGAAAAATACTATTCGTTAGCTAAAAAAGTACGACTTATAAGCATTACTTTCCAAGAGAACTACAAAAAGTACGGAGGAGCGATATGATCCAATAACAATCCTAGAGTAGCAGAGGAGGAGCGATATGATCCAATAACAATCCACTAAAATGCATGCAGCCGGCCCTGTGGTTGCGATGGATCACGTGGGCGAGCGGTGCAGGAAACACCGTACGGTCGACAACACGGACGCGGACAAGGCGAAGAAGGTCGGGCATCACTGTGATGGGCCCCGGCCCGAGAGGGACGCGAAAGGCCTAATCATGCGGAGGGATGGCGCGATCGACGATTCTCTCTTTCCAAATCCAAGGCCCGTCCCCAAGCCTGGAGCTTTCGCCGTCCTTCATTTTTCCGGTTAGGGAACAAGTTGCCGTTATGGGGCTACAGTACAAAACTGTGCGCCGGCGTCGCATGTGTATGTGTGGTGTGTGCCGAGCCCCGGCGTACCTGCACATGACGACGATATTCACAGCCGTGTAACTCTATAGTGTACTGAATGTAGTAGCACTGTGTTAGTAACACCCCTCAATCGATTCACAGAACAGCTTGGTTTAACTACAGTCGGAGCACAGAACCTCAGGGGAAGGGAGGTTAGAGATCAGAGCAGCCTAGATAGGGGATAGAATCAGAGAGGCAACAGGGAATAGATCGGGAAGAGACTAGAAGGTCCTAGAAAGTACTGGAAGTAGCGAACCGCGTACAGAGGAAGAGGAACAGTAGGTAGGAGATGGTTTCTTCTGATAATTGTTCCCTCCCGTCTTCCTGGTTCACTGCCTCCTCTTATACTGAGTATGGCCACACAAGCAGGCACCAGGCCTCGGTGCGGCTACGGCCCATGGCCCTCCATCAACAGCCAGCGGCCCATATAGCCGACATTCCCCTCTCCAAATGCGGCTTGCCCCCAAGCCACTGATATTGTAGAAGACGATAGTTCATCAGATTCTTCAACTGTACAGCAAACCATAGCAGCAGACATTTCATGGACTGAATAAACGGAGAAGACTTGAATGTGTCCTCAACCAGAAAACAGGTGTCTTGTTTTGACGTATTGAACAAAGCGGAGGTGGTCCAGGAGGTGCATTCCTTGCCAACGAGACAGCATCCCTGACATCTCCGAAGTTTAAGTTTGACTTGCTTCTCATAGCACTAATTTCATGCAGGAGATCCAGCTTGGAAATATTTTCCAGCAAAGCATCTGCAGTTGCAGTACGGGTTTTTTCGTGGAACTTTACCAAGTGATCTTGAGGACGCTCCCTGTAGAAAATCAGACATCCATGGCTGAATTGAGAAATTTGCTGGAGGGCTCACTGTTTCACTGTCTGAATTAGAAATATTGACATCTGAGTGCTGAGTTTTATCCTTTGTTGCTTGCTCCTCTTTCTTCAGAGAACCATTTGTTTCAGAGGCAGAAAATGGAGACGTCCCAGGGTCCGAACTCGAGACAGAGGAAGTTCCCGCTTCAGTACTACCGCAAGGTGTCTCAATGCTGCACTAATCCTTGTCTATAGCACAACCCAGCTTGTCCGTGCTGGCTTACACTCAATAGCAGCAACACCAGGAGGAGAGCCGGAAACAAGCTTATACCTCACATTTATCTTGTCTATATCATACTCATCAAGTTTCCTCATCAGTTGAGAACACAGCTCTGATAAATCACATTTCTCATCCAATTCAGACTTATGGCCACTTGTACAGTTCCAGCGAACAGCGGAAAGCCCCAGAACTTACTGCCAGACCTCTGTGCCGAGATGACGACTAGGAGTATGATGCTTCTGCCGAGCTGCACGACATGCGTGAGCGCCCAGATCATAGCTGTCTTGGAGATCTCCCTCGTGGCTGCCCTCACAGCAGAATTCAAGATATCTGTGAAACAATGTACCTGACAGAATTCACCATCCGATAATACCTTGCACTTATCATGAAGAACAGTCTTGAGGGAATCATTGAAGCTTCGTATTCAACATTGTTCGGAGTACTCGGTGCGAAACGTGGCCGACAAGTAAATATCTGTAGTTTTGTCGTGCGCTGTGATCGGATGTGGCCTAGCATGCGATGACACAGTATTTATACTGGTTCAAGCAACGTGCCCTACATCCACTTTCAGTCGGTCGGTGACTTTATTCCTGAGCCCAGGTGCTCGAAGTTTGCTGTGGAGTTACAAACAAGTAAGGAAAGAGAATGGGGTGTTAGAGGCCCGATCGAACTCTGATCCGAGTGGAAGAGAGTGACGGATGCTCAAACGTGCGCTAAGTATTGGAGCGTATACTATGTGTGTCCAAGCTTATCCACTGTTGAGAGCGTGTAGACTGTTTTCTTTTAGGAGAGAGCGCATCTCCTTTTATAGATGAAGGGGATGGCCTTACAAGTCAAAGACGAAAAGGGAAAGAGCGTGTACGGGTGCTACCTAGTCTTGTCGCCCTCGCCCGTCATACCGTTTACGACGCCATCGCTCACCTTATTGTTTATGACCTACTGTACCTGGCAGGCTGCACAGTGTTCACCTAGGACGGCAAACGATGGCGCCCACGATACTGTTTGTGCTCTGACACATCTAGCAGGCTGTATATTGTCCGTCTGACATGGCCTGACGGCACCATCCTGCAGGTGCGCAGGGCATGACAGGGTACGGTCCTCGGTATTGCGGTTTACTTGAGCGTCTTACCTTATCTGCTCTACTTGCTCCCCAGGCCCACACCGAGCAGGCATCCTGGTCGGTCATTCCCAGTCGGCTCTGATCGTGTCGATCAGGAAAGAGAAGCGAGCAAAGGTCCGACATATTCTCAGTCGAAGAAATAGGGTCGGAGCCGGACTGCGGTCCCACCATGGCTATGCCTTCTGGTCGGGGCTCCGACCAGGTCTCCTGTTGGAGGAGGTGGTCGAGGACCGGATCGTGGTTTCGGCCTATCATTGTGTATCTAGGCCAGCCCAGACGCGCGCTATCATTGTACCGCCTGCTGGGCTAAATATTACAGGAAACGGATTCATTAGGGACCCCGAGTTTATAAACCCGACAATCATTATCCAAAGTTATGTCTATGACCTTCTTGTCGATTTTCAATTCACTAAAACACAATTCTAGTCTCACCAACAGATGTGACATCATCAGAAAAGTCCATGAATTTAAAACCCACTATTCTTCTCTACAACTTCCGGCCAGCGTGACAAACGGCCCTGTTCGCTTGGGCTCGATTGGCTGATAAGCCATAATTGAACGCTGATTTGATGTGAGAAAAAAATAATATTTATTAGCTGAAAAAAATACGGCTTATAAATCAATCAAACCAAAACAAACAGGGTGAAAGTAAGCAGTGGCACAAGGATGTTTCAGATACGATGGAATGCAGAGCATCCTTTTCCCTTCCAGACTCATCAGACTCGTAGCGCTTCTCCTCTTGATGGCCACGTACAGCACAGAGTGCGGCGGTTGCTCGTCCAGCCAAGCCAGGCCGCCATGGTCGGGCGCTTGTAGGCTCAGCTCCTGCCACCACCTCGAGCTCGGCCATGTAGAACATCGGGGCCAGCCCATGGTTGTTGTTGCCCCAGCGGAGCATCTCCTCCTCCCAGAGCGCGCTGACGGGGACGTCGGCGAAGCAGCGGTCACCAGCTGGGCAAACCGTCGAACAGTTGGTCTGCGCTGGCCCCCCAGCCACAACCCATGCCAGCGGTCCACCACCTGCTGCGCCTACAGCATCGGCGTGGAGCGCGGCGGCTGCTGCGAGTGCCTGGCGTCCGCGACCGACGGCTTGGTCGAGCGGCGCGTCAAAGTGGGCGAAGCCGGACTCCGGGTCGTCGTCGAGGGAGCCATCGTAGCCACCGATTCTCGGCGGAGGCGAGAAGCGCCTGTCCCAACGAGCCTCCATCTCGTCGAACTTCCGGTTAAAATGGTCGAGGATAATCTGAAGTTGAGAGGGATCCATGGAGCTAGAGCGAGAATCGACTATCTCCGATACCAATTGTTAGCAACACCCCTCAATCCATTCACAGAACAAGCTTAGTTCAACTACAATCGGAGTACAGAACCTCAAGGGAAGGGAGGTTAGAGATCAGAGCAGCCTAGATAGAGAAGCAACAGGGAATAGATCGGGAAGAGACTAGAAGGTCCTAGAAAGTACTGGAAGTAGCGAACCGGGTACAGAGGAAGAGAGACTCAAGGAGGAAGAGGAGCAGTAGGTAGGAGATGGTTTCTTCTGATAATTGTTCCCTCCCGTCTTCCGGGTTCACTGCCTCCTCTTATACTGAGCATGGCCACACAAGCAGGCACCAGGCCTCGGTGGGGCTGCGGCCCATGGCCCTCCATCGACAGCCAGCGGCCCATATAGCTGACACACTGTCACTACTACTGTACTTTGACTGTTGACTGTTAACACAGTAGTCAAACGCGCATCTGGTTCGTGGGCCCTTAATCTCTATGTCAGCGGCAGGCCACACGAGAGGGACGTCAACGATCGCCGTGCCGCGATCCATCGAGTTGGTACTGGGAACCCAGCGTAAGCAATTTTGGCCATCTTCGCTTGGTCTTACTTTTCGGCTTATCTTTTTAGCCGTAACAGTATTTTTCTCTCACAACAAATCAGCCGGAACGATGCAGCGAAGCGAACGGAGCCGCCATGCCGCGATCCATGGAGTAAATACGATCCGGGCGTCGTCCCGGCTCGGCGCGCACACGCATCAACCGTACCGGCAAATCACAAAAGTGGGCTAGCTAGCTAAGGCACGCCCTGTCCTCGTCGCGCTGCGCCGCTGTCGGTGGCCGCCTCTTTTGTTGCCTTGCGGAGCTGCGGTCCGTCGTCCACGCACGTCGTTGCAAGCAATGCAAATAAACACTCCGCGACGCGTGCCGGAACACGCAGCTATCTTGCTGGTGCGCCTCCTTTCATTTCATGCGGGCCACGGCATTAGTTGAGCGCCCGTCCTGGCCTGCTCGTTGCACTATCGGGCTCGCTGTTCACATAAAGCCATCCTGAGCGCCCCGCAGGAACAGTTCCGGTGGTGGCGATTTTGTTGTTCGCTTTGGCGAGGACGAGCGCAACGCGACGTGCCCATCTGCTTTGGGACTAAAATGGCACTGCAATGCCACTACGAAGAAGTTTCGCGTCGAGAAACAACCCAGCAAGGTCAGGCAATGGGTCACATGACAAATGCTGGGCCCAGTATGCTAATGGCAAGTTGATGGGCAGCCTTATAGTAGAGGAATGACAATCTCCAAGATTCAGGTCCAGGTGCAAAATAGGCCCAGAGGCAAAATGCTTTATTTCGAAGGAGACTTCTGCTATGGGCCTCTCTCTTATTGGCTGGGTCGGCTCTCGTTGCCTAACCCACCGGCCCTTTCATCTTACCGGAACTATTAGAAGAGTGTGTGTTTTTTTTATGAGGGAATTTCCGAGCTAGAACTACCTGCGGACTGTGGTCTGCGAATGAATTCTCCAACACGAGAAAGATCGCGCACCGGAAGCAAATCGTCTTGCCTCACTGTCCACTGATTGGCTTTGGTGCACAGGCGCACACGAAGCGCAGACCGAACAAGTGAACATGCACGAACGCCCGTTCCGTTCCATGTGTCAATTAAATTCAAAACCGCACGTGTTACAAATTTACAGCAGCCACACCTGCACCGCTGCACGGTCTCGCGGACGCAAGAGAAATTCCCGGCACCCGAATCGAAACGAAAAGGCAGCCGGGACCGGGAGTAGGACAGGCGGCCCCGACCGACCCCCAAGGGGCGTAGCAGTGGAGCTCGGCGGGACGGAGGCATCGCGGGGCCCTGCGGCCGCGCGCGCGCATTCCTTGGCTGTACGTTCCACACCTGGAGCGCCCTGGATGGCTGGACGGGACCGAGAGGCGTCAGGTCCCCGCGCCGCGCCGATGGAGCGAGTCCGGCCTAGGACAGCGACCTCCACCGTGGCTCCATTCGGCTTGACCTATCCGTCGCGAGGAGGACGAGAGCAAGGTCAGCCACAGCGCCCCGCGGTCCGCGACTCCACGTCGTACTCGTACAGCACAGGCCGGCCCCCGTCGTCACGCTCGCCCGTGGCTGGCTGGGCAGTCACTAGCCCGTGTCGTGCGTGCCGAGTCGTTTTTTCGTGGCGGCCGGCCGGCCGGTCCGGTTGACTTGATCATTCGAGCGTGGCAGTCCGGTGCGGAGCAGGAAGTGGGAGTGGTGACTACTGACTGGGGAAGCGCTTCGCGTGGTGGATGGTTAGTGGTTGGTCGTCCCGGGCGCCGGCGCGTCGTCCACTGAGATTCGGAGCAGGTGAGACTACGCCGTGCTCGTTTTTGGCCGGCTCCTGTCCCCTTCGGTCCTTCCGCTGCGCGGCTGCGGGCTGCGGCGCCGTCGCCACCGGGGTCAATCCAGAACGCGTGTGTGACGACCTCACGCTAGCTAGTGGAGTGCCGGGCCAGGCGAATAAACCTGACCTGCGAATAGGAGCCGTTACGTGCCGTGTGTGCCTGTCGATCGCCCGCCCTGCCTCTGCTACACTGACTGACAGAAATGGATGTGTTCCTGGTGGTGCATGTGATGAGCGCAAATGGCCACGACACGCGAGACGTCAAATCTTCTCGGTACGTGTTCCACAGTGACGTAACGCTCTAGAGCGCACAGCGAACCCTAGTAGACGTCCAACAGCTCCTCGCCGACGTCAACACACCTTACTCTGAGACGACGTGTTCCTTACGAGTATTGTCAAAGGGTCGCGCACGAAAGATGCGGTGCAACGAGTTGGGTCAGAAACGCGGCAGATTTGATTTGACCTCTGCTGGCACTGGCAGTGCCGTTTCTTATTCGCTTCTCTATATTCTTCCTGTCCACGGGAGTATTGCTTATATATTCGGGAGTGGAGACGGTGAGGGATCGGAGGTGAGGTCACGAAGGTGACAGCTGAGGGCACGCCGGGACTCGGCGTTGAAACTTGGAGCTTGCTGTCGGGCGCTGGCTTGCCCCGTTGCTCGACCAAGCAATGTGATCGATCCATGGTGGGGTACTGGGGTCGGTTCATTAAAAAAACCAATGCGTAGGAATCAAATTTGTGCTAACTGATGGGGAATTCATTCCATGAAGACCGACTTCAAATAATATATGGCTGAAAATAAAATTCTCCTCCACTAGCCAATTGTGGGTGGACTTTTTCGTTGTTAGAGTGTGACTAGAATCCACGGATTCAAACAGGTAAAACAACCGGACTCCTAACGGCAAATGTTCTGAAGTACATAGTGATTGAGTTGGCTGCGGTCATGCTTTACTTCGTCCGTCATAAATTGTGTTCTATAGACCTATAATGCATTTCGATTTTGATGGTTAGATGGGCCCGGTCCAAGCCCGACTAGACATGGGCAATCAAGACACGACTCGGTGAATAGTGTAGTGCCTGGACCACCGTCTTAGCTTGTAGTATCGGGACAAGCACAATTTATTTAATAGGATGGCCTATTAAGGACCATTCCATAGAAACTCTACATATAAATTGACTCTCCCCCGACCTAGTCCCTCCCTAGTCCTAACACAGCCACAACATTGCACCCTCTCCTTGAGACCCTCTACTCCACATGAGACCTCGCCTACGCATTTGCCTATCCCTAGTCACAACCCACCAGCTCCCCTTACCCTCTCGGCATATCCTCCCATCAACCATGACCACCGTTGTGGACGTAGCTACTTCTTCAGCAACTCACCGTCCATCACCGCTGACATTCTCTTCCTCCCTCTTTCCTTTGTTGTACAATCTCCTCCTTAGGATGGTGTGCAACAAGTCTAGGCAGGCTGGATAGGTAGTGCTGTTGACCCTCAAGACATCACTCCATCCTTTTCTCTTAGATCTAGGGTGGTTGGGGCACCGATGCAAACTGCTAGTGATGGCAAGCATCGACCTCTAATTTGTGATTGATTCTGTGGTTGTGTGTTGTACACTTGTGATTTATCTATGGACATGTAATGTATACATGGACTTTTAATTTTTTCTAAGATGAGCTCACCAAGTCCACATAGCCTGCTGGGCCAGCCAAGTTCACTAGACTATCACAACACGGTTAATAAACTTGTTTAGTGTCATGCCTACTACTTTCATGATGTACGCAAGCTAGAACATTTTTCGAAAAGCCAACAATAGCATGCCGGGCATATATTATAGAGAAGGAACCAAATATAATAAAAAATAAAAGAAAAATAAAACATCAACACTCATGAAGGTGACAGCAAGACCACTACCAAAATAACAACACCGGCAAAACCACCAAGGCAATGACCGCCAAACACTACCCTGAACTCCAAAGAGAACAAGCTCTGTAGCCGAAAAATGGTGGCTTCCACAACGAATCCTCAAGGAGGGAAACAACACCTATATATAGGTGCTGCAAACGTCAATCGAGAGAACCAAGGTTTTTTTAACTCCTATTGTGGCAAAGGCCTCACTGCAATGCCTCCAACAACAAGGGAATGCCGCCAAAGGCGTCACCATAGCCGCCCACAGCTAAAGCCTACGCAGGGCTTTCGCCCGAAAGTCCCCAAGACCCTAGACCTAAATCTTGCCATGCCGTGGATCCTCGCAGCTGCATCGAACTATAGTAAGCCGTCACCACCAGCAGGACATCTCTGAGGCACCGTAGTAAGCTGGAATGTTTAGAAGGAACGGATTTGAAGAACTTTTGATGGGTGGATGCTAACACCAGCTCCTAAGGAGGCGAGCGTGTGGTCAACCATCGGTACTTTAGATGTTTTTTTTATGAAATTACTTAAGATGGTTTTTACTATGAGTTTGTGTAATCTAGTTTCATCTATTTTAACAAAAAACTGTAAAACTCGCATGCTTTCTATACTTAAATGATATATGGCAGTGGTCCTGCCAGTTTTTCTTTAAGAGAGAGAGAGAGAGAGAGAGAGAGAACATCCTTTCTCCCATCGTTTTGAGCAAATTCGTGATTAGTT